AAAAAAAAAAAAAAAATCAGTCGTTTTATCTGAACTGTTGTCTATTTTCTTCTTTCTTTTTTTATTGTTTTGCTGTCCTTTAAAACAGAAAATAATTGAGGTGGCAAAAAAAGAAACAGCGTTTTTGATTGTTGTTTTGAAATATTTTCACAAAATGAATGAATAAATACGTAGCAGCATTAATTTTAGGTCAAAATTTTATGCAACAAAATGCACAAGCAGTAAGGCCACGAGTAAAGATAACGGATATGCCATTTCCGGTAGCTAATGCTCAGGCGTTAAGCCGAATTACGTGGACAATGATTGGTACATCGCAAAAGGTTCAGCTTTTTTGCTTCTTCAATCTATCAGCAATATTGTTCTGCAATTTTTACTGCAATTATTGCTGTCTATAATATTGAACAAGTAACAGTTTTTTGCTACAGCTTTTATTGCCCAATGTTAATTTGGCTAAATAAAAAAATATTCGTTCACATTACTTTTCCTTTCATTTTTTCCCAATTTTTTTTTTTTTTTTTTAGGATTTGATTTATTGCGTATCCGAAGATCCGGCTTCACAGCTACGATTTGTATGCATTAATTGCATGGAAAGAAATGTTACGGATTTGATCAATGTGCTGAGTAGTGCCCAGGACCTGACTGGCAGTGCTGGATTTCCAGTTCAGTAATCTTACCTTCTATATACATACTTACGTATATATATATATATATATATATATATATATATATATATGCGAAGATAGATTAATAAGGCAGTAGAAAAAAAGCAGTAAATAGATTATCAATCTTTCGTTTTTGAGAAGAGTTTAAAACGGAACAAAAAAAAGTGAATAATACAAGGAAAAAAATGAAAAATTTTTTATAGGACTTTTGCTAATGGAAATCTTTATTGCCGTTTCTTTTATTCAGTTTGCCTTCTACTTACCTCTCACTTGTCATTTTTGCCTTCTTCTTTCCTCTCTTTCTCATTTCTTACTTGTAAATTATAAAATTTCTTGTTGAATTTTTTTCCTCAAGTTTAAAAAAATTTTTTTTCTTATTATATTTGAAAGTTTTATTAATTGTTTGCTTACTGCTTTATTTTGTTGACATTCATCTTTGCAAAGTTATCTTGCATATGATTAAAAGAAAAAAGAAAGGAAGGAAAGGAAGGTTGGCGGAAGAACGGTTAAGCTACCATTTTACTCGATGAATTAAGCTAAATTTTTACTGTAATTCTGGTTTCGGCCAAAAAAAACTATTATAAAAGCAATAAATTAAATTTTGGAGTTGTTGGAAAAGGAAAAAAAAGATTGGCGAACAAAAAATTGTTGAATTTTTGCACCAATTCGACAGCAGTTTTTTCTACGTTCCTTTCTTGTGTATCCCATTTTCCGCACTTTTTCCTTCACTTTATTGCATGCAACTGTCTTCTTTCCCACT